TAATATCACCTAAACAATTTTTTACAATACAAAATACAGATTTTAACTTATGTGATAAAGAACTCATCATGATTGCGATTCATCCATAATAGTCGGTCAAGGAATGCACTGTAACCTGTTATGAAATCTTTAAAAATTGTAAAAATATTTGGAAGCAGTTGGTGTTCCTCAAAACTTAAAATATGCTTTCGATCGGTATCATGTTTCATGTATCATACGCCATTTCTCACTATTAAGTATTATTCAGGGTGAGATGAAAAAACTGCAACCAACTTCAGACTGCTGTCATTTCTAACCCACTTGTCCGACAGCTGTTAAAATTATTCCAGTGACAGCTCATTATATAAACAAGCGTACAAAGGCATTTTGGTGAGAATTTTCCAGAAAAAAAGTTATTCGCGAAGAGATTCAAGCGTTGTAGTGTCATTTCTTTATATTTGGGTGGAGAACCACAAGTGGCTATCATTAGAGCACTCCAGCATTTAAATGTGAATAAACCCTTTGTGTCTCGTACCATCGCTCGTTACCGTGATACTGGTAGCCCGGCGTCCAGGAAGTGTACGGAAGGAAACAGCAACATCAGCAGAAAAGTTCGAAAAGTAAAGAAGCGACTTGGTCGAAACCCGCGTCGCAGTGGCCGAAAAATGGCTCGTGAGTTGAACATATCACAATATTCTATTCGGCAAATATTGAAAAATGAACTCGGGGTAAAATCATTCAAATGCCAAAAAGTTCAAGAACTTACACCACAACAGAAAGAAAATAGACTCAAAAGAGCTAAAGAGTTGCTTCGCTTGGCCGAAAGTGGTGAACTGCTGAATTTGGTTTTCTCCGATAAGGAAATATGTAAACAAACAAAATGATCGTGTTTACTTGCCAAAGAGGTCAGCTGAAATGTGCGCCTTCGGTTGTCCACCAGAACTCAAGCGCCGACCATGGTGATGGTGTGGGCAGCCATAACTGCCGATGGTCGCTCTCCGCTGGCATCAGAATAAATGCCGAATACTATCGCGAAAATATTCTGAAAGGTGTATTAAAGCCTTCGGCAAGCAAACATTTTGGCCGCAGACCTTGGACATTCCACAGGACTCAGCACCATCGCACTCAGCACGCGCCACCCAAGAATGGTTACAAAATGAGGTTCCTCGCATATCCAGCGCACAATGGCCACCAAAATCTCCGAATACCAATCCGTTGGACTATTGTGTCTGGAGTATTTCGGAAAGCAAGGTTGACACTAAAAATACCACAGTGTCGATCACGTAATGGTTTCATTGGCCGTTTGAAGACCATAATTCATGCGATAGGTGACCGATTCGAAGAAATCTAAACTTATTCTAAAATTTGATGATATTTTGGACATTTTGTGCTTTCGTTCAATAAAATTAAAAAAATTAAAGATTATGGCGTTTGACTTGTTGCAGTTTTTTTATCTCACCCTGTAGATGATTCCTTAAGGTTTCCTAAATTCTTGGTCAGTTTTCCAAAATCTGCTATAATAAGTTTCGATAACGTTTGCATAAATTTTCGGGTCATCATATACAAAAGGTCCCCTAATAATTTACTCCATACTTCGCAAAATTGAAGATAGAGCTTTGAATCTTTGCATTCCAACTAGAATATTAACCAAGTAAAGTCGGCAAATTAATATTTTATTTAAATGTCCTATTTTAGAACATGTCCTATTTCTTTGAAATAACATATTCCGCCTATCTCGTTTCCTAAATATTCTCCTACTATCTCCAAATGCAAAAATTCATTAAGGTTTGACGATATTTCCAACCTGTAAATTGATCACAAAATAACATGAAAGTTATGCAAACGAAATAAAAAAGGTGGACTTTATTATCTGAGTTAAAGGTTGGGCACACGAAATTAATTAGACGAATACAACAATCATTCTACTTTTGACATATCCAAACTATCATCTAAACATCATGCTTCGAATCGGTTATTTCGAAATGACTATAGCCAAAAATAAAAACGCTAAACGGATAAAGCGCAAAACATATAAATAAGTTTTAACAAAGTAAGACATTCGAAAATACAAATTAGTCCAAATACACATATCTTAAATATATACAACGATCTCACTTCGGAGAGTTCAACAGAATTGCTACTTAAAAATCTTTGCGTAGAAAAATACATTTTTATAAAATTTGGAGGTATCATTCTCTTGTGCCTTCTGCAAATCCAATGTGGCGGCAATTTGAACATAATGCGTTTATTGTTTCGTTATTTTTGATGGCAATTTATACAAATTATTTTATTTCATATATTAAATAAAATTTTGATATTATATTTTGATGTGTAGATTAATCAAATGAATGGCGAAGGTGTTTTATTACAATAAAATGAGATGCTTTTGTTTTCGTTTTCGAATCAGGTACGGAATTTGTAAACGAATTTTCAGACACTTGAACTAAAAACTGGCATAAGGATAAACAGCCAAAGTGCCGTCAATTATTGAGGGAAAACAGATCCATTGTATCTTTGTATAGGACGGCACAGTTCGTCATAGGCAAAAGGGGAATAAAATTTTACTAAACTCCACCATACTCATGTCGAACCCAACAAGTTTATATATTCTTGACCAGCGTTAAACTTTTAGTGGATTTAGCGATGTCCGTCTGTTCTCTCAGCGACATTATTTACCGGCATTGTTTCAAATTTCGTATTGGAAGATCTTAGTATGTAATAGTGTCAATGACAAAAAATCACTAATGCAGGCTCACGGTTTCATTTGAACAAAATTTTTCGACGAAATTTTTTTTAAAAAAATTCAAGTTCCTTTCAAATGTTAGAGGGTATTAAAAGCAGCTTAGCTTAAATAAATTATATCAAAAATTTGCAATTGATACGTTCTGTATTGTCTCGAAGTAGGACGCAACAAAATCGAAATTAGAATAAGTGAAAAAAAAAAAACAAGTAAACTAAGGCTATACTCGTGCAGGACCAACCATGTGATACCCTACAACACTACAATATGTTAGAAGCCCCCTTATGTCCAAATCCATTTCGCTTTTGAAACTCTGTCTTAAACTCTAAATTCATGCGAGATTTCGTGTCCTTTGGTTTCCATTTGTGACCTTTATAATGGCTGCAAAATCAGGAACATGTTTAGTTGTTGGTACTTTTCAACCCCCAAATATACAGCGGATATCTTTAAAAACAATAGGCCTAGCCCTTCTGAGACTAACCCTACCCTTATAAAAATTTTCATGGGATCGGACGATAATTGCTATCTGTATATAATAACCCCAACCTGTGTTGTAAGGTGAAAAGAATATTACAAAATATACACTTAAATATTATAAGTCAAATCGAAAAAATCGCATGCGATAAAAAATACGAAAAAATGTCACAAAATACTACAAAATCTATATGAATGCCATTTTTTTTAGATTTCATACTTTTATGCCAAGAGGGGATCCTGAATTGAAAAAAAAAATGTCAAAATCGTTCCACCCATTCTTGAGATATAAGCATTCTAACTAACATCCCCCTTCCTTTGTATATACATATTGTATATATTTCGTTATATTTATCCGATATATTTACTATCGGCATTTAAGTAACGGTCAGAATTGACCTGTTCGTCTATTTTTGATTTCGCCGGGATAAAAAATATTCGCGGTTTAATGGAAAATTTGACTTTTATTTAACACAAATGTTATGGTCTATTTCACCCACTTGATATTACCCGATGACCATCAAAATTTGGAGGCTTCTGCCCAGCTGTAAGCTCCAGACCCATGCTAGCTTCCGCGTCGATTAAATATTATGCGATCATCTCCAAAAGAAATAGAGTTCTATTCCGGTTCTGGCCCCACCTCCATTCTAAATTTCGTGAAGATCAGGCCATAATTGCGACATGTTGAGTGATTACAAATTAACATGGACCGACGGACATACATAGCTAGATCGACTCATCTCGGCGAGATAGGAAGATCCATGTGGAAATATAATATTTGGAGGTGCTACATAATTTTTGGCCCAATCAAACTTATAATAACCCCAACACATAGTGTTATGGGGTATAACAAAACTGAAATGTACTCTGTTGGATGACTCAACATTGGTAACGAAACAGTACCAAATTCGTTTCAAACGTTTGCAAACATCTCCCTGTATATTAAAAACTAGAATTAAGTTAAATTTAAGATTTTTTATTCATTTAGTATGTCTATCATACATTGGAAAACGGTACAAAAACAATATTTAGTATGTCAACTCTAAATGTAGCAGTCATCATATTGCACAGTAAACGTTTCCCGGCAATTCCTTTGCAAACGATACAGTTCGCCAGTCATTGAAATGTTTGTGGCTTTGTTTATCGTTTCATTTGTTTTCGTTCGAAGGTGGTTTGCATTGGCCTCGATTTGCTTGACATGGTCCTTCAACTTACGAACTTTTACTACGAAATTTGAAACAATTCCGGAATGAAATGTCCAAATAACATCAAGCTGGAAACAATTCCGGTGAATAATGCCACTAATATCATCAAAATACCAAATAAAGGGATGTTTGTTATATGAAGACGTGAACCTACATAGACAATTTTCCGTCATTGGTTGTAGTACCCATTACGAGCTTCAAATACGAAATTTTTAGCAATTTCGGCGAATAAATCCCCTAAAATCATTAAAATACCGAATATCGGGAGGTATCGTTATATTGGGGCTATTCGAATAAGTGAGCCAGCTTGTAAATGGGTAAAGGATCAGACTAATGCGTTAAAACTCGTTTACAATTTCCGGAACCATGCTCATCGCTATATATCTTTGTGACTTAGAAAAATAAAATAAAAATGCATGTTTTTCAGCTAAAAAAAAATAAATAATACTGACTATAAAATACATAATTTTCATAGCATTTGGGCGGGGAGGCCATTTTGATTTCATTCAAGCATTTCGATGAAATTCTAAGATGATAATGGTTTCTATCAATTTTTAAGCAAATTTTTAATATAAAAAATGTTTTGTGAATATTCTTCGTCGTCGTCGTCGTTATCGCCTTCGAAAACACAATTTTTGTTCTAAATGCAGAGAGTTTTCGTCTTGGGATGATTATTTTTATGATTTTGTTTTTCATTTCATTATTTGTTTGGAATTTCCAAAGTTGCTAATATTGCATTCTGAGGTTCAAAGGAAATTGAGTTAAATGTTTGTTGTTTGTTTGTTATTGCTTCATTTGGTTGCAGTTACTTTTTGCCATTGGTTTTCTGTTTCTTTGGTTTCATTGTTCTCTATTTGTTTTCATTGAATGACATACATACATATTTAAAAATGCAAGGACATTTCGGATAGTACGTACATGCGTTAGGATTAAATGTTTGACTATATGATAAATTATATATCTGTTTTCGTTTGCATGTTCAAATACTAAAATCCGAATGGGCTTTGCTGATTTCGCTACATAGGGATTTGCGACGAAGGCTGCTGCTGCGGCTGCTGTTTACAAATATTTCATGTTGCTGCTGTTGTTGTTGTTGTAGTAGTAGTGGCAAAATTTTGGAGATTTGTTGAAATAAAACCGGTTGCATAAACGTATAACCAAATCAGAGAAATAATTCTCATGCTATTGCACTCCCGGACATTGTTGTCGCCTGACGTTCGCTCTGCAGCTCGCGTGTGCGTTCCTGTTCAGCCGATTCGGAGCTAGCAAAGAATAGATTGTTTCTGTTCACATTTTTGTGGCTACACTACTTTGGGATGTCATTTCGCTATTGGGCACTTACTTGGATCTCACCGCAATGGGACTTCCGGGTATATCGATTGGATTGGCATTGTTGTTGTTGGTAGCTGAGGAACGACGACTGCTGCCAGATTTGTATGTGAATATTGAGTCATTTTCCACTTCGTTTTCAATCTGAATTTAAAAGAGAAAAAGACATAAACGAGATTATAATTTCCCCTTGTGGAAATCAACACCTACCTGGCGTTTGTACGACAGTCGCTCACTCGAAACCGAACCGCATGATGAACTTTCCGACACTGCCTGCGTGACGGTTGTTACCGATGGTGGACTATTGGGTCCGGGGAAACGTTTCGAACACACCTGTGATTGAATGTGTTCGCAAATACGCCGGAACCGTCTTATGTTTCCTTTGAAAGTTCGAAAACACACAAAAATAGTAATAGTTAAGGGGGAAAGATGTGAATATCCAAAATCTCAAAGTACCTGATAACAGCGTAAATGTTAAAGCAAATAACATATCGGCCACATCGCCTTGTTTACAAATTGCACTAATATCAACCTGAAATGGTGGATGAGTGAGAATTTATGAAGTTAATAGGGAGATTCAACAATGAAAACTTTAAGCAAAGGCCTTTAAACCAGTTTATATCTTTATAGAATATAGAATATATATTAATTTTGTTATATATACATTCATGCTCTTCTGTGCATTTTCTATATACACTTTGGGTATGACACATACCTGAAATTTAACATGTCTTTGGAACATGACTGGACCATTGCCGTTTCGTTTATATTCCACACGGAATGATGTTGGCGAAACCACGCTGTGCGACAACTCTGCCATCTAAATGAGACAAACAAAGAGGGAGTATAAGTAAAAAAAAAAAACACAAGTGACTACCGATTAAATACAATTTTAACTCAAATAAAAACCAATACGATCTAAGCATTGTGCTTTTTGTCCGTCCTTCCGTCCGTCCGCCTGTCCATTTATTATAACAGGCCGCATTTATTCTTCGATTATGATGATATTTTGCATAAATATTATTTTTCTATCCCAAGGACGAACGTAATAGAATTGTTTTGAATATTCACCATTGCATTTTTTGAATTCATATCGTGTTCGATGCATCAAATATTTGAAATTTCGTTGTTGCAAAATAGTTAGGTCTAATCCCATTATTGTTGATTTTATAAAAAAAAAAAAAACATTTATTTATTAGTGGAGAACGATGGTAATGTTTACCATGAGGTAAGGTAGGGAATACACCTAAGTCTGTTTTTACACGGTCTTTTTGTACACGGTTTTGATATAACACGGTTTGAAAATTGAATATTTTTAATTTATTTACACGATTTTATTCCATTTAGCACGATTTGAAATTTTATGTACTTAAATTTTTTTGTCAAATTTAATTTTTGCGAATTATGTTCATATCACAAACAAGTATTTATGAAAGAAAAAAGTCTGAAACCATCGATAGTATCGATAATTTGCGAACACTAGCTTAAAGATTTAAGTGAATTCCCCTTTAGCGCGTAAAAACAATTTTTACTGGTCAAAGCAAATGTGAATAACACTATGTGCATACAATAAAATTTACTGGACAGAGCAATTGAAACGTGTTAATATTTTGTGAACTGTTAATGCAATAAGACGTGTTTGGTAAAGAAAAAAAAATAAAAATTCTTGTTTTTCACTAATTTTAATAGGTTTTAGAGATTAGGAACAAATCACCCATTTTTATATAAAATCAATGTCTTTTTTACACGGTTTTTTACACGGCTTCTTCTGGAACCAATCTACCGTGTAAAAACAGACTTAGGTATACCTAGGTTTCGGAAAGAGCCACCAATCCTCATCAGTTCCCACTTTTGTCTGGGAATTCTTCCCAGGAGATATCTTAAAATAACTTCTATAACAAACAAGTAAGCAAAGGCTACAGTCGTGCGGGGCCAAACATGTGATACCCTACAAGACTACAATATGTTAAAAGCCCCTTTATATACAAATCCATTTTGGAAGATTTCGCTTTTGAAACTATATCACATAGCACAGCCCACATATTACCCTTAGCATTTTCAACAGGGACATTTGCCCAATATTAACGCACTCCGCCGTGCTCTTAGCTACTGCGGTCCATTTTACAGCTAAATATAATCCAATGGTCATCCAAAATGCTAGAATTCTTTCCTGTTCTTAACTCTCTTCACAGGCGTGTCGATTGGCTTCAATTGTGTGATCAGGGATTTTTTTCTGTTTTTGGTCCATTTCAACCCCTAAATATATTGCAGACATCTCAAATAAAAAATGTCATAAAATACTACCAAATCTATATTAACATCATTATTGGCATCTTTTTTTGATTTTTTCTTTAGATTTTATTCTTTTATGCCAAGAGGGCATTCTGAATTGACTAAATTTGTCAAAATCGATCCAGCCATTCTTGAGATGTAAGCATTCTAGCTAACATCCCCTTTCTTTGTATATACATTGTATATATTTCACTATATATATCCGATATATTTACTATCGGTAGATGCCGGTAACGGTCAGAATGCGTTGTGTTTTTGTGATTTCGCCAGGATTAAAAATATTCGGTTTAATAAAAAAGTTGACTTTTAATTAACACAAATGTTATGGTCTATTTCACCCACTAAATATTACCCGATGACCAACAAAATTGGAAGGCTTCTGCCCAGCCCTACGCTCTAGCCCCATGCTAATTTCTGTGCCGATTTGTCTATAATTGCGACATGTAGAGCAATTATTATAATCACGGACATGGCCATAAATTACAAATCATTGACAATGCCAACAAACGGCGGTATCAATGTTTAACATTAATTTTTGGAAAATTCCCGCAAAGCAAAAAAGAGCCAAACAAATAGTTGAGGTCAGAGGTGAATTGGGAAAACAGATTTTTTTAAATAATATAAATAATATGTTTTTTTTTGTAAATAATTAAATTTTGTGGAAACTATTATTAATAGCAGATGAATTTTAAATAATTGAAATATAATTGTAAAATACATTTTCTAATTAATATTGTAATTGGAATATAATACCATAAGTATTTAGAGAATTTTCCTGCAAGCAAAGAATTTTGCATAAAATAGTTGAGGTCAGAGATGATTTCGAAAAGCAGATTTAAAAAAAAAAAAAATTGTATATTTTTGTAAATAATTAAAGTTTGTGGAAATTATAACTAAGAGCATATTAGTTTTTATACCGTACAACACTATGTGTTGGGGGTATTATAAGTTTGATTGGGCCAAAAATTATGTAACACCTCGAAATATTGGTTTCCCACATATGAACTATATAGCTATGCATGTCCGTCCGTCCGTTTGTCCGTCTGTTCATGTTAATTTGTAATCACTCTACAGGTCGCAATTAAAGCCCGATCTTTATGAAATTTAGAATGGAGGTGGGGTTAGGGCCAGAATAGAAGCCTATTTCATTTGGGGATGTCGCATAACCTTTAGGGGTTAAAATGGACCAAAAACTGAAAAATATCCTGGTTTTGCAGTTGTTCTAATGGTCGCAATTATAGACCAATTGAAGCGGAAGTTAGCATGTGGCTAGAGTTTAGGGCTGGGCAGAAGCCTTCCAATTTTGATGGTCATCGGGTAATATTTAGTGGGTGAAATAGACCATAACATGTGTGTTAAACAACAGTCAAATTCCACCAATCCGTGAACTGGTCAATTCTGACCGTTACGTAGATGCCGATAGTAAATATATCGGACATATATAGCGAAATATATACAATGAATGTATACAAAGGAAGGGGATGTTAGCTAGAATGCTTATATCTCAAGAATGGCTGGGCCGATTTTGACAAATTTTGTCAATTCTAAAAGTATAAAATCTAAAAAAAAATCGCATAAAAAGATGCCAATAATGATTTTAATATAGATTTTGTATATTTTGTGACATTTTTTATTTTTTTCATATTTTTTATCGCATGCTATTTTTTCAATTTAACTTATAATATTGAAGAGTTTGTTTTGTAATATTTTTTCACCTTACAACACAGGTTGGGGTTATCATATACAGATTGCAATTATCGTCCGATCCTCGCAAAAGTTTTCACAAGGATAGGGTTAGGCTCAAAAGGGTGTTATTTAGGTGTTGAAATGGACCAACAACTAAAATGTTAATGATTTTGCAGCCGTTATAAAGGTCACAAATATAGACCAAAGGACACGAAATCTCGCATTAAGTTCGTGTTTTGGACTTCGGGTAGAATTGATCACTACCTTTGTGGGAAAAAATACCAACATTACTTACAGGCAAAATCCAAAATACACAAATGGCGAACTTCAGCGTTTTATGCTGATTTCGTTGACAAATATAGCCAAATATCGTAGACAAGCAAATCATATAGATGAGTCTAAATTTGGAGAAACAGAGAGGCCTCTTGCTTTTGGAGATGATCGCAAAATATTTAATCAAAAACAGAAAAAAATTCCTGATCACAGAATTGACGCCAATCGACACGCCTGGATGACCATTGGATTATATTAAGCTGTAAAATGGACCTCAACAACTAACAGCACGACGGAGTGCCTAAATAGTGAGCAAATGTCCCTGGTCATAATTTCAAAAGCGAAATCTTCCAAAATGGATTTGGACATAAGGGGGCTTCTAACATATTGTAGTGTTGTAGGGTATCACATGGTCGGTCCCGCACGACTATAGCCTTTGCTTACTTGTTTCCATTTTGACTTAGTATTTTCGAATCTACATTTATAATGTTTTTTTATACCCTCCACCATACATAGTCTGGAGGGTATATTAAGTTCGTCATTCCGTTTGTAAATCATGAAAATAATCATTTTAGACCCAACAAAGTATATATATTCTTGATCAGCGTAAAATTCTAAGACGATTTAGACCTGTCCGTCCGTCTATTGGCAGAGAATTATCTACATAGGTCCACGATATCATATAGCCCCCATATAACGGTAACCCCGATATTCGGTATTTTGATGATTTTAGCGACATTTTCTAATAGAATAGTCTGAAAATCCACACGAGGAGTTCTTTGTGGGCACTTTACCCCCTGAAAGAGAATTGTCTATATAGGTCCACGATATCGTATATCCCCCATATAACGGTACCCCCAATATTCGGTATTTTGATGCTTTTATCCGGATTTTTCGACGGAATTGTCTAAAATTCAACACAAGGGGTTCCTTATGAGCACTTTACCCCCTGAAAGGAATTGTCTATATAGATCCAAAATATCGTATAAACCCCATATAACGGTATCCCCCGATATTCGGGATTTTGACGATTTTACCCACATTTTCCAATGGAATGTTCTGAAAATCCGCACTAGGAGTTCCTTGTGAATACTTTATTCATTGAAAGAGAATTATCTATATAGGTCTACGATATCATATAGTCCACATATAACAGAACCCCCCGATATTCGGTATTTTGATGATTTTAGCCACATTTTTCAACGGAATTGTCTGAAATTCTACACAAGGGGTTCTTTGTGAACACTTTATCCCTAGACATAGATTTATCTATATAGGTCCACAATATCGTTTATCCCCCCATATATCAGCACCCTCCGAGATTTTAACAGAATGCTTAATGGATTTTATTTTTTGAAAATGTCCTAAATCGTTCCAAATGGTGAAGGGTATTCAAAGTTCGGCCCGGCCGAACATACTGCTTTTTTACTTGTTTCTTCTTGAATTCTAATATGATATGTAGCCTTTTTAGGTTAGTACAAAGCAACAACGGACAGAACTGTTTTAATTTACAGATTTTATTTATATATTGGGTAAGTGGAACTATGCGAATAATATCATTTCAGAAGAGGATACCAAATAAAGAATTATTTTCACCATATAAAAGAAAGTTATGTTAGTTACCACGCTTATAACTCAAGAATGGCTTGACGGATTTTGACGATTCATACAATATCGGAATGATATCTTGGCAAAAAAAAATCGCGTGAAAATATGCAAATAAAAATGTGAATGAAAAAAAATTGGCGTATTTGAAGTGTACATTTTTATTGTTTCGAATTCAGAATGAAATGAGTGCGCAATGGCGATCTTTCATGTATAAAATGGGCATCTAGCTTTCAACCACAGGACTTACATCGTGCTTCAGCTGGAAGATGTGAACACATTTAAACAAACAAATATGACCGACAAAGCGTTATGGGGCTCATTTCAAAACTTCTTTTATATGACAATAATCCGTCCAACTCAAAATGCGAAATTCTTTGGGACTGAAATGCCGAATATTAAGTTTGCAAAATAGTAGAGCGAACTAGACATTTAGTAAGAAAAGAATTTCTTCCTAAACTTTCACGATACCTTAAATCGCTTATGGGTCATAACTCCCGGAAAAGGGTAAAACCCGATTTCAAGTATATTGTACATTTTATCCATAATTTTGGCCAATGTTGGTAATTTTGATAAGAAACCATCCTTGCAAAAACTGGATTAGTGATTATTATCAGGTCAGACACAAAAACGTCCTCCGTCAAATTTTATTAGATATTAAGAATAGGATGTACCTCCCACGCATATGAGTCGCTTTCGGGTTTAAAATATAGTTGCTTCAAAGGCATAACGCATGGGGTCAATGAAGACTTCTAAAACGTTATTTGTGTAGCACGGTGTAGCACTCTTCTCGAATTGAGCGTTTATAAGAGTTTTTGTAAGTTCAAAAAAAAGTAAAAGTAATATTAGAACAAACTAAGTCCCACAATCGTTCTAGAAAACTCTTTTTCGTTGGTTTGGCCATGTCAAGTTTTCACATTGTGGGTGGTATAAGAGTCGTTCTTATTTATTTTATAATAGCACAGCAGTCATACACTACGAAACTCACTTCTATAGCATATATGGTAGAACACTGTATTTTACTTATTTATATTGACAAAGTTCTTTTAGCGGACTTACCGAAAGAAATGCATGTATCAGATGAGCTTTAACGGTGGCAATGGGTTTTCCCTTCACCAAAATTGTAAAGGTTTCATCCTTTTCAGTTGTTATTAAGTTACCAAACCAGGAACGTTTAGTTAATTCGGGTGATGATTCTGGCGTTAGATGTACCTCATCTGCGGAAACTAAATTTGAATCGAAATAAAATAAATCAAATGCATATGCCATTATAATTGTGAATAAAAATACCCTGCAGTTTTCTACGGTGAAATCGTGGACTGCCTAAGAAACTATTCTTAATATTGGTAAGCCTAGTCTTCCACAATTGTCCGCCAGGTGCATTGCATGGTGATCCCGGCATGGCAGCTGTGCTATTGTTCATCAGCGGTGATGTTGTAGGATTCATAACTAGAAATTTTGTAAAAAAGGGAATAAGAGACACATATATAAAATATATTAAATCGGCAATCCTACCATTATTTGCTTCTGGATCGTGGAACATGCTGATGGCAATTGTGGGTCCCGAATTGGCCCTTTGATGTACTGTAGCTGAATTGCCACCAGGACTGCCAGGCACACAACTAGTTTGCACTGTGGATGAACGTTCGTTGCGCGATTCCCTTCGCTCTCGAATTTCCCGAGCCACAACCTCATTACTGGTGGAGGTGTTGTTACTGCTACCGCTACTACCACCGCCTCCACCACTATTGCTGTGGCCCTCGACACATGTCTGCGACGAATGTGAAGATGATCGTCCGCTAGGTGGATGATGGACAGAAGCTGATCGTTCCCGATCACCATAGGAAGAATGACGTGACGCATGTCCTGATGAGGCAGCAGGCGATGAAGGTCTCGACAAGACATTTGCTTGCTGCTGTGCTGAGTTAATGGGTGAGTTGCATCTCGTTGGACTGTGATATGACGAAGAACGCATCGAAGATACCGAAGTCGGCGAACGGCGCTGATGATTACGTGTGCTACTGTAGGACCGGAAGCTGTTTGTTAATGACATTCGAGTTTGATTTGTGGCGATGTATGTATGCATTGTATTTGTTGTTGTTGTTGTTGTTGTTTGTGACATGGTTATACAGATGATGGATTGATTGATTGATTTGAATTGAATTGATTGGTTGTTCGTTTAATTAATTTGTGTTCATTGATTATGTCGATGATGGTTAGTTAATAGATACGAGTGTTGTTGTAGTTAAGTATGGTTCCGAGCAAAGCAGGTGACATTGCATTCATTAATACATAGTTATGTACATTCAGGTTACCAAATGATTGTGTTATATATGGTGTTGTTGTTGCGCATGTACATATGACAATGCAATTTAATATATATTTGTGAGTAACGACATGAAAATACAGAAAGTAGGCATATACGTGTATTAGAATTGATTGGTTGTTAAGCTATGATCTGAGTGGCTTTGAAAATGTTATTAAAATTCAGCAACAAAAAATCTACAACTAATATATACTAATTTCATGTCTATTATTGTAGTATTTAAATCTAGATTTCTCACTCGGATTTTGAATGATTTCACATTTTGAGATTTCACATATATGAGATCTCTCAAGTTTTTATTAGTTCTCTATTTTAAGCTCTAAGAAAAGATTTATAAAACACTTGCATAAAGTCCATAGATGATATATTTTGGAAACCAATTAGGTCAACAATATCAATGTGAACAGGATTTTTAGATGAATTACATAGTTGTTGACTTTTTTTTTAATAAATTTTCACATAATATTATCCTACTTGAGTGGATTCAACTTTACAAATTCGCAAGGCATACTGATGTTAAGATTCTAATATCCAATGTGCCGAACCATCGCAACAGCACAGATAAAAACAAACCGACACTGTTGAACATTTACCGTTTTTTACGTTTTGTGGGAGGTAGACTATTTATATTTGATTACTGTATTCCACAGTGGTGCAATTCTTCCACCAACTTCCATACAAGAAAGAAATGAAAATACACAAGGTGAGATGAAAAAACTGCAACCAAATTCAGAATACTGTCACTTATAAGCCACTCGTCCGACAGCTTTTAAAATTATTCCAGTGACAGATCATTGTGTTGTTTACAAGTTTACAAAAGCATTTTGATGAGAATTTTCCAAAAAAAATGTTTGGCTGGAAAACCACAAGTGATAACCGTTAGAGCATTCCAGCATTTAAATGTAAATACATTTTCTGTCTCTCGTACTATCGCTCGTTACCGTGATACTACTAGCGTAGCCCGACGTCAAGGAAGTGGACGGAAGAAAACAGATACATCAGCAGAAATGGTTTGAAAAGTAAAGAAGGGACTTGATAGAAACCCGCGTCGCAGTGGCCGAAACAAGGCTCGTGAGTTGAACATATCGCAATATTCCATTCGGCAAATATTGAAAAATGAGCTCGTGGTAAAATTCCAAAAATTGGAAGAACTTACACCGCAACAGAAAAAAATAGACTCAAAAGAGCTAAAGAGTTTCTTCGTTTGGCCGTATGTGGTGAACTTCCGACCTTGGGTTTCTCCGATGAGAAAACATTCGTTGTTCAGCAGTTTGTAAACAAACAAAATGATCATGTTTACTTGCCAAAAAAGTCAGATAAAAATGTGCACCTCCGGTTGGCGACCAGGACTCAAGCGCCGGCCATGGTGTTGGCCGCCATAACAGCCGATGGTCGCTCTCCACTCGTATTAATCGACCGTGGCATCAGAATAAATGCCGAATATTATCGGGAAAATTTTTCTGGAAGGTGTATTAAAGCCTTGGGCATGCAAACATTTTGGCCGCAGACCTTGGACATTCCACAGGACTCAGCACGCTCCACCCAAAAATGGTTACAAAATAAGGTTCCTCGCATATCCAGCGCACAATGGTCACCAAAATCTCCGAATACCAATCCGTTGGACTATTGTGTCTGGAGTATTTTGGAAAGCAAGGGTGGCACTAAAAATACCAAAGTGTCGATGACCTCAAGTAAGCGCTTCGCCGGGAATGGGCCAAAATACCGCAGAGCAACATTCGGGCAGCGTGTGACGGTTTCATGGGCGTTTGAAGGCCATAATTCGTGCCAAAGGTGACCAATTCGAACAAATCTAAACCTATTCTATAATTAGATGCTATTTCCGACATTTTCTGATTTCATTCAATAAAAATTAAAAAAAGTGTAAAAATTATGGCGTTTTACTTTGTTGCAGTTTTTTTTTTTTTTATCTGACCCTGTATTTGCCCGAGAAGTACCAAGTTTAATTAATTCAGAATTTGTTAAGAGTTTGGTCTACGCTTTTAAGTTTTTTTATTTAAAAGTAGATTGGGCACAACAAAACCGAATTCAATTATAAAATTCACTCAAATTTTACGGATCAGTGAACCACTTCTTAAATCTTATTTCCGTACATTTTTAAAATCGCCTTCCTGAGCAGTGTGGAGTATATTTATAAGACACACCCATTATCTTCAGTTTTCCAGATGTAAATTTCCGCTTAAATCTTTTCAAAAATTTCATCCACAATTATCAAAACAAAGCATTTTGCTTAATTTTCCTAAACAAGATTTATGTTGTACCTAATATTTCATTACAAATTAATCGATCCATTCTTGACAGTACCTTTTTGTATTTATTTTAGGAAACTCAACTCTCTTCTAACCAAAAGTCTTCATTTTTCTATGAAAAGGAATATAATTAATGTAAATTTTCTATGTGTCCAATAGATTTTAAAATTTAGAATTCTCTTGAACACAATTTCATGATTACACTTTGGCCTAATCTAATGAATGGTTGAACTATAATTTCTAATTCAATGAAGCCACACTGAACGGCTGCCATTAAACTTTTCCGACTGTCCTGAACTTTAACAAATGATGGAATGCAAGCCAACATACTATAATCTAAGATATTTACCACACACTAAATCTCAATGTTTTTCTTGCAACTCTCACACACACTCACACAGGCACGTGCATACAGCCACATGCATTTGCTAAAGCTAAACAAGAATCTGATGCCAGTGATGTCTGGCGTAAAATAGCTTCGGCAGTTCAAAGAAATGCCACTGCACATAAACATTCATTCACACTAAATGCACGAATGGAAAATGATAGAAATCAAAAGGGATAATAGGATGCTATAATAAGAATATCCTTGCCTGGGGAGAGCTTGACGCATTCAACATTCAATGTTACAAGTCGACTATAATTTATTTGCATGCCTGCAGGCGGGGTTAAGGCCTTTGCGGTGCAACAACACAACAACAATCACTGAACGACGATACTGGTATGGCTTTTGTGGAATAATCGCTATTGGCACTAAACACTAAATTTTAACTAGCAAAGCACACACACAGAAACTGATACACATTCGCACCGATAAATATATAGATATAATCTTTGTTTATTCACACTGAAATACAGACACACACACACAACGATACTCACTTGAATGCCTGTCTTCTTGGCGTCAGTGGAGATCCTTCGGAAATTTGGCCATAGCTGGGGGAATTGGTGCCATTAATGCGGCATGTATCCAAACGTTTGCGGGGCGGATCTGCAGAATCCAATTCACTGCGAGACTTTTGAGTAATTTCATCGTCATCCTCTAAAGCTGGACGTCTACGTTTGCGATCCAGTAGTAAAAAATAAATCACCTTTTCTGTGTTGTGGCTAAAATTGAAAAATTAAATATTTTATTATTACATTAGGGCGTTGGAAAAGTGACCGAAGACACCAAATGGAATTTTCGTATGAAACGATGTCGCTTCACAGAATCTTTGAAAACAGTAGGCTACAAGGGGTTTTTGAGGCGTACAACAACAGAAATCGAAACGGTATACATACGTATATAAAAAGAAAGAAAAAGCAAACAAATTAAATAAAATCAGTTTATTCCTTGCAAGCCTTTATCCCTTTTTATATTCTCCACCATAGTACGGGGTGTATATTAAGTTTGTCATTCCGTTTGTAACATCTCGAAATATACATTTTAGACCCCAGAAAGTATATATATTCTTGATCAAAATAAAATTCTATGTCGATTTAGCGACGTACGTCCGTCTGTCCGTCTGTGGAAATCACTCTAGCATCCGAACGAAATTAGGTATATTGATAAAATTTTACTCAAATATATATTATGTCTGCAAAACTTTTAGTATTTCGGTATTTTGATGATTTTAGCAACATCATTCACCGGAATTGTTTCAAATTTGGTATTTGAAGTTCGAAAGGGATACTACAGCCTAAGAAAGAAAATTGTGCAGCTTCACGTCTTCGTATAGCCCCCATATAACGGTACCTCCCGATATTCGGTATTTTGATGATTTTACCGACATTATTCAACGGAATTGTTTCAAATTTGGTATTCGAAATTCGCAATGAATACTACAGCCTAAGACAAAAAATTGTCTGTGTAGCTCCACATCTTTGTATAGCCCCCATATTACGGTACTTTCCGATATTCGGCATTTTAACGATTTTAGCGACATTATTCACCGGAATTATTTCAAATTTGGTATTGGTATAATGTGGCCTATGGCAGAAAATTGTCTGTGCAGGTCCACATTTTGGTATAGTCCCCATATAATAGTACCTTCCTATATTGAATATTTTAACTACATTATTCACAGATTTTTTTTTCAAGTTCCGCATTTGAATATTGTAATGGCTTATGACAAAAGTTGCCTATACGTCGTCGTTTAGACCTTAATATGACCGCTATATTTTGTGTTTTTAAGATTTTAACAGAGTTGTTAACTGATTTTATTATTATTTTTAATGGCTAAATTCGCTTCTAATTGTGGAGTGTATTCAAAGTTCGGCCCGGCCGAGCTTACAGATTTTTTACTTGTTTTCTCACAAAGATAAATATTGGTGTATAGGTATGTTACTGTCACAACTAAAATGGCAACAACCGATCCAAAAAGATATTCGGAGACAAAGGTTTCAATGAAAGTTCTTCCCATACGAACGTTTGATTTTATGAAAATATTGGTCATTGGCTGGGGATGTACCATAAGGGGTGGATTTAATAATACAATTTTCACACTAATTATAATATATCTATTCTTATGTTATATATGTTACAATTGCTTAAACATTTTGACTATGTGGGGGTTACCAAATGGAGTGGATGCATGTACGAGCTTAATCTATGATGGAAATATTGCTATATGGAAGGTATGAATCAAATTGGATACTCCTTTGAGAGACGCACGAACAGATAGTGTGACTTGAAAGCCCAGCAATGTTAAGTTTTTTGATAAATAGGAACATTTTTGAAGAAATTTTAAGCATGTCCAATTTTTCTTTGATTCTTTTTATGAAGCTTATAGTTTTCGACAATAAATCCAAAACTGTCCGGCAATGTAATCTTGTGAACAAAATGCAGGTCACATTTATTATCCGATTGAGATGAAATTTGCAAACAATATTTGTTTGATCCAAGGATGAACCCTATTAAAATTAGTGATAATCGTATCTGATTTAGATATAGCTCCCAATTATCTACAACCGATTCCGGGTTAATTGTGCAGCAAATGGCTAATATAGGTCTAAATGACCTGTATTTCGGTACATCCCACCGGATTCAGTTTAGCAGCAAGTTAATCAAATTTGGAGAAAATCGTTTCAGATATAGCTATAGCTCTCATATATATCTTTCATCTGATATGGGGGTTTAAGTCCTCGCATGCGTAATATGCATTCCACAACAATGATCACAACAATGGTACCAGATATCAAATACAGCTCTGAAATAAGTGTTTCAAATTTCGTCAAGATCGGTTCAGATTTGAATATAGCTCCCATATATATCTTCAGCCAATTTCGGTTAATTGTGCAACAAATGGCTAATATCAGCCCAAATGGACTGAATTTCGGCATACCGACCGAATTCAGTCTAGAAGTAAGTACATTAACTTTGGTGAAAATCGGTTCAGTATAGCTATATCCCATATGTTTTATCTGATTTGGTGTTTAAGTCCCTCACAGCCGCATGCATTCGACAATAATTAAGTTGGTACCAGTTATCAGATACAGCTATATACCTCGGAAAAATGTTATCGAGGTAGGTTCAGATTTGGATGTAGGTCCCATATATATCCTCAACCAAATTCGGGTTAATAGTGCACCAAATGGCCAATATCAGTCTAAAAGTCCTGAATCTTGGTACATCCAACCAAATTCAGCCTTGAAGCAAGTATATCGAATTCAAAAAAAAAATTGGTTCAGATATAGATATAGCTCCCATATATATGTTTCATCCGATTTGGTGTTTAAGTCCCTCAAATTCGTAATATGCGATATTTGGTAGCAGATATCTTATAGAGCTCGGAAATACCTCCACTAAATGCTATGAAGATCGGTTCAGATTTGGATATAGGTCCTATATATATCTTCAATCGATTTAGTGTTAATTTTGCACCAATTTTTGGTACATCCGACTGAATTCAGTGTAGAAGCAAGTTCATCAAATTTGGAGAAAATTGGTTCAGATACTGCTATAGCTCCCGTTCCCATTTGGTGTTTAAGTCCCTCACATATATATATCGTTAATCCGATTCATTTCAAGTTTATTGTGCAAATAATGGGAAATATCAGCCCAAATAGAGTGAATTTCTGGACGTACGTTTCCATTTTCTGCTACTCGGCTCCCATATATATTTTTTTAAAATCCTTCTCCAAGTAATATTATGCACTCTATAGCAAACTATAGCTGCTCTAAAGCCAAATGTTGATAGGTGGTATGATCTACTTGAAATAAGTTCTTTTGTTATGGGAGCTCTACTAAATATGCATATGAGATGTGTTTGAATTTCGAAAAAGAACTATATTTATTTGTGAAATTTTCATCATATTTTGCAAGAACATTTCCTGTAATTTAATAGCTTTGTATACTCTGCACCAAAGAATTTTATTGATATTTTGAAGCAATGGATCATATTTGCAAAAAAAAAGTATCTTTAATATGGTAACGCGAGTTCGAATTTAAAATCACTTTTTGATAGATCAATGGAAACATGCTGAGCATTTCATTGTCTCCATGTTCGAATTACCGTAACACTCTATGTATATACATTATTTGTGTCATTCCAATCGTACTCTCTTCTTTTTTTTGTATTTTATAGGATACTTACGTTGTGCTCAACAACTCTTGTATTAGTTTATCCTTTTCCTTAAAACAACCCAAGGAACAGATGGCATTTAAAACATCAGGATCCACAGCCGAGGCAGATGGTATGACATGTGTCTGAACAACTTCCATCATAGGTAATTCCAATTCCAGTTCGCCCTTGCCGCCGGCCGTTACCCAGGGATGTCGATTGATTTCCGCCAACTGCAAATAAAAACAAAGCAATTTAAACAATCATATCCTGCTGCCCCAAATACCATGTTTTATTTGTATTTCGGGAGACAAGGGGATTGGTTGGGGTTCATAAACTTGTTTGTCTAGAGATTTGACTCATCAGTCATGTATTGTTGTTTTATTGTCTGTGTGTCTTTGTCTTGTAGTTTGTCTTCTTTGTCTTTGTCTACTTCCGATTGGGTTCTCAAAACTGCAGTCAATGTAAAGTGTGGGTGTGTATGTGTATGACAAAACAATAGTTCTGTTGTTATTGATGTAATAAATATATTCGGTCTTTCGATGACTCACCGTCAGTCGCCGTTCTGGATTCACTTCAATCATGCCGCGCAATAGACTCTGGCAATCGGGGGGCACAAAGTGCGGTATGTGGAACACACCCCGCTTTACTTTCTCCAACAATTGTCGCAAGTTGTCGTCATCGAAGGGTAATGCGCCCACCAAAAGTGCGTACAGAATAACACCGCACGACCATACATCCGCCTTCCGGCCATCGTACTTTTCACCCTTAAATTAAGAAATTAATATTTTAGTGCAATTCACATTTTCAGCCCAGCTCAAATCGCTCTATTTGCTTGTGGTGGCAATGTGGCGATGTGGTCAACTTGTCGTTCGCATGAGCATGCCATCAACGACACAATTAACCACCATTAAATGTAATAATTTCATATTGACTCGAATTGGGGTCATCTCGAAATTGTTGGAAAAAGTACCGTAATACCACAAATACCGAATGTCTGCCACCACATACATATATACACAAGCATGCAAGGACACGCCAGAGTAGGCTATTTACATACCCGTATAACTTCGGGACAGGCATAGTGTGGTGAGCCACATGAAGTTTCTAGCATTGAGCCGGCCGGCTGCAGTGAGGCCATACCAAAATCTGCTATTTTAATATTATTCTTCTCGTCCAGTAGTAAATTTTCTGGTTTCAAATCCCTATGGCTGTAGGGAAAATGGAAAACATAAGCAGTGGGAAGAAGATTTTTTTTAATTCGACAGCTTACCATATTGAGTGTGAATGGCAGAAATCTAATGCAGATATAATTTGGCGGAAAAATTTACGCGCTTCCTTCGGTGTTAGCCGACCCTTCTTAACCAAATAGTCGAATAGTTCACCGCCGGAAACGTGTTCCAATATTAAATACAAATATTTCTTATTTTCATAGACTTCACTTAGGCCCAGGACATGTGGATGATCAATTAATTTCATAATAGCTATTTCTCGTTCAACCTGAAAAGAAAGTAAATATTTTCTGTTTATTCAATTTACTTTTTATGCAGAAGGTATGGGAGTTTATGCTAATTAATTAGTGAGAAGGCAATAGATGGTATTCCTACGAGGAAAATTTTCACATGGCTTAGTGTTTATTTGTTTGACACAGGAATAACTCACGAAGGTGTATTTGTATTACAGCTTACGGGAAAAATACAAATAACAATGTGGGACTTCTCTGGACTAAACATTACTCTCCCTCATAAGTGAGACACAATCTACAAATCAATTCATAGTCTGTTGAATGCGAGAATCGATTAAGTACTATAATCGTTTGTTTAAAAACCTCTGTAAATTCTAAACACCTCACGCCTATAGTTTTTGTGATATTCACAAAATATGAAATTGGTAAAAAATTGACCTAAACATTAAGTCATTCTACTGGTCACAATTGTGATCTAGTCATCGAATCATGTATTTCAGATGATGATCGGAGGTGGTTGGGTTAAGTTCTTTCACTCCAATCGTTCATACTCAAAAGGTTTGGTCTTAAATTTGATTTTCATAAACATTTTCAAAGCGCTTCTTTACTTCTGAAAAGCTGGGATTTTTCAGAATTTTGGTGCTTATGGTAACCTTTAAAAGGTGACGAGCCAACAGAATGTTGTAACCTAAAAAACACATAATACTCCTATATATCCCTTAATCGCCAAATTTCAGGAAAAATACATCCAAATCCTTGAATGTGCTTTGAGTCTGAGAAGCTAACCTTCCAGATTGTATTTTGTAGAAGTATCTCTCAAACTATTGGTTCCTTTATATGCGCCTATACATTCATAATTATACCTAATGGGGGCAGAACATACCTACTAGGGTCTTCGATTGTTTCCAACTACAATATTTGAAACTAATAAATAAAAATCGTTGCTCATTTAATTAACAAAGGCAGATGGTCAAATGCCAAAGAAATAACAAAGAAACCTAAACATAGCGAAATATTGAACCTGCCCTCACCTTTTATTGTGACGAACGACTTATTTGCCGCTTATCGTTTTATCCTGTCTGTTTTAAGTTTTTATTTAATTCGCTTATAAACCAAGGTGATCTCTGACTAATTTTTTAGTATAATAATCGCTATTTAATCTACTCACTGTCCTGCAGGTATATGTGGGCGTGTTAACCAAAGTTTCGAGCTCTAGACTTGCCAAGCATTATGACTTTGCTTTTCTCCATTGTTTGTAGACCCTTCACAAATATATGGAGGGCATATAAAGTTTAACATTCATAATTCATCGAAATATCGAATGTGTGTATTATTTTTTCCGCGTAAAATTGTAAGTCGATTTGGTTACTTCGGTCCTGCTGCCCGCCGGGTATAACCTCGCTAACATTTTGACGAAACAAAAAACGAAGCTTAGTCTCTGCAAAGGACTGTCGTTTATCTACTGTCAGGTAATATGCGCAAATGAATCTCGATTTTCTTTCTTCTCTTCGTGGAGGTTTTTAAATTGTCGGTCTGGCCATTTATTTTTCATATCATCTGCATTGCATAAAATAAAAGGCATAAAATACGTAGCTATGAAATAATCTTTCATGTCCGCAAGGGTGTTTACAGTGGCTGATCTCGAGTAATTTTTGTGTCAGTTTAGGGACTCTATAACAGCTCAGATGTCCGTCTAAGTATTTAGGTACCTAAACTAAGAAGTATTTCTCTTTACTGCCCATCGATAAAAAAAAAAAACCTGATTCCATTCATCCATGATTCTCTGACTGGTATTGACGTTTCACAAAAGGCAGCCGCATTAGTGATTAAATATTTGTTCCTAGTATGTCCTAGTTGTTATTGACTGCAAATGATATTGGCTTCCTACAGGTCAGCTATGCGTTCTTGTGTGTCTTAAAATTAAACCTTTTTTACTCAGGTGTATTTTAGGACACCAAAAATGGGTCTTAAAGAGGGCTATATAAGTCCACGTTTTGGTATAGGCTCCATATAACTGTACCGACAGACTTAAGGATTTTTGGGTGATTTAGTCACATTTTCAAAACGAGTTCACTGTCAATTGGAAATATGTGGTCCCAGAATGTACGAAAAAATTCTTGCAAAAAACTGTACATATAGGTCCAAGGTTTGGTATAGATATAAATCCCTTATAACTCATAAGATATTCGGTGTATGATGATTTTTATCACAGTTTTCAGTGGAATGGTTTACTATTTGGTACTTGGAGTTCGTAATGGGTATTATCTCCTATAAGAGACAATTTCCTACACAACCCCACGCCTTTGTTTAGCTTAATATAATAGCTTAACATAACGGTACTCAATATTCGGTATTTTAAGGATTTTAGCTACATTTTTCAATAGAAATATCTCAAACTTGGTGTTTGAAATTCATAATAATCAGCACCTTCTCTGGGAGATAATTCGCTATACAGATTCACATTTTCGTACATTTTTTGCAAGTTCCTTCCAAATAGTAGAGGGTATTAAATGTTTGCCCAGTCTTATTTATTTTGTTTTTAGTTCACAATTATCTCGGTTTGTTTATGATGTTTGGTTAGAAAGCTTTTGAGTTTGACACTGAATCCTTGAGTCCTTTCGTATTGAATTATAAATCAGGCGGTAGCTACATTGTTGCAGAGTACATGTTCTATATTATATGATAAATATTCGGACTACCTATTGGGTTCGCTTTGTAAACATTTCATTCGCATATTCAGTTCAAAAGAAATATTAGAAAATACAACTTTTATTTAAAATGCATTCGCAAAAAACGTTGGCATTTTGCTTTAATATCAAACCCATAACTTAAGAGAAAAATACATTCTCATTAAACTTCAAAGTTCTATGAGTTTATTCTAATATCCAGGAAATTCGTATTAAAATGAGCCTAGTTTAAATTTTTAAATTTCTACGTGTCCATATTAAATAAAGTTCAATGGCTTCCCAATAGGTATCGAACAAAGAAGAAACTACACGCTTACCTACATACACACTTGTTTAACCACACCGAGTTCCTAAGTTATTTATTAAGTTCATTATTAAAAGTAATTAACTTTCCGAAAGGTATTGTTTATAAATAAATCAGTAGACAGGTATAGATAGGACACGGACGTAAGTACAGTCGGCCTCAAAAGTAGGTCTGCTGTGGCAATTATTTACAAGTATTAATTATTATGACAAGTAATGAGGCAAAATGTGCCTAATATAAATAAGAACTAATTATTTGTATAATTAAAAAAAAACGTGGTCACCACAAGAAATACGAAATTGTACTACTTACATAAAATGAGTACTTAAAATAATGGCCGTCCAGCTTTGGTCAGTAATGTGAATTTATATTGTTTTTGTTTGATTTTTTCGTCGGTTGACAAAATTATTTCGAAGAAACATAGTTTCGACCATTAACACAGTGAGAGTCTTATTTTATGTTAGCGTTTAATAATAGAATCTTGTACTACATATTGTGCCAAATTCAAGGACAAAAATATTCTCTCTCTCTATTTCCACTGTATATAAAAAAATCTAGAATCATTTGTACAGAAAATGGATCATATCGGTCCACTTTTTGGAAAATTACCTCTGTAAGGATAACTCCGATTTCAAAGATTTTTTACGTTTTGGCCTTGTCTTCCATTTAGTTTTGCCAAATTTTAGCATTTTGAGTTCTGCTCATGTAAGGACGCTATTTACAAAAGATGATCAATATGCAGGGTGAGATGAAAAAACTGCAACCAACTTCCAGTGACAGCTCATTAAATTGTTTACAAGCGTACAAAAAAATTTTGGTAAGAATTTTCCAAAAAAAAAGTTATTCGTGATGGAATTCAAGCGTGATTGTGTGATTTCTTAATATTTGGCTGGAAGTGGCTATCGTTAAAGCACTCCAGCATTTAAATGTGAATAAATCACTTGTGTCTCGTACCATCGCTCGTTACCGTGATACTGGTAGCGTGGCCCGAAGTAAAGGAAGTGGACGGAAGAAAACAGCAACATCAGCAGAAATGGTTCGAAAAGTAAAGAAACGACTTGATCGAAACCCGCGTCGTAGTGGCCGAAAAATGGCTCGTAAGCTGAACATATCGGCAAATATTGAAAAATGGGCTCGGGTAAAGTCCTTCACATTCCAAAAAGTTCAAGAACTTACACCGCAACAGAAAGAAAATAGACTCAAAAGAGCTAAAGAGTCGCAAAAATATTCTGGAGAGTGTATTAAAGTCTTGGGAACGCAAAGCAAGGTTGGCACATAAAAAGTACCAAAGTGTCGATCACCTGAAGCAAGCGCTTCGCCGGGAATGGGGAAAAAATACCGCAGAGCAACATTCGGACAGCGTGTGACGGTTTCATTAGCCGTCAATTTGAACAAATCTAAACTTATTCTAATATTTGGTGCTATTTCAGACATTTTTTGCTTTCATTCAATAAAATTTAAAAACAAAAAATGTAAAAATTATGGAGTTTGGCTTTGTTGCAGTCTTTTTATCTTACCCTGTATGCCCATTTTTTGGTACAGCAATTATATAATGAGGGTTATCGTTGTATTTAAACTCGACCTTTTGTGGCGGAGGTTACGATGTCGAAAGCTGGAACTATATCGGATACTTTCTTCGACCATCATGATGTTTTTTCAATTTTTATATCCTCCACCATACTATGGAAAGTATATTAACTTTGTTAATTCGTTTGTAACTCCTCGAAATACTCATGTCAGACCCAATAAAGTATATATTCTTGATCAGCGTAAAATTCTACGTCGATTTAGCGATGCCCGTCTGTCTGTCTGTTGTAATAACGCTATCTTTCGAATGAATTGAGATAGATGGCTAAAATTTTGCACACATGTTTATTTTTCCAGTAGGCAGGTTAAGTTCGTAAATGGGCCATATAGGTCCACGATATTATTCACCGAAATTGTTTCAAACTTGGTATTTGAAGTTCGAAAGGGATACTACAGCCTAATACAGAAAATTGACTGTGCAGGTCCACGTCTTCATATAGCCCCCATATAACGGTACATCCAGATATTCGGTATTTTGATGATTTTAGCGAAATTATTAACCGGAATTGTTTCAAGTTTGATATTTGAAGTTCAAAGGGATATTACAGACTAAGATAAAAAAATTTATTGTGCAGGTCCACGTCTTCGTATAGCCCCTATATAACGGCACCTCCCCATATTTGGTATTTTGATGATTTTAGCGACATTATTCACCGGAATTTTTTCAAATTTGGTATTTGAAGTTCGCAAGAGATACTACAGCCTATGACAGAAAATGTTCTATGCAGGTCACGTCTTCGTATAGCCCCCATATAACAGTACCTCCCAATATTCGGTATGTTGATGGTTTTATCGCCATTGTTCGCCGGAATTGTTTCTAATTGCGTTTTTAGAATTCGTAATGGGATCTACAGTATGCGACAGAAAATTGCCTATGTAGGTCCAGGTCTTCGTTATGCCCCATATTCGGTATTTTGGGGTATTTGAACTTCGTAATTGATGCTACAGCCTATGGCAGAAAATTGTCTATGCTGGTCCAGGTGTTCGTATAGGCCTCATATGTCAGTACCTCCCTATATTCGGTATATTGACGATTTTAGGTACAATATTTACAATATTTGAAGATCGTAATAGATGCTACAGCCTATGACAGAAAATTGTCTTTTCAGGTCCAGGTCTTCGTATAGCTCCGATATAACGATACCTCCCTATAAATGGTATTTTAATGATTTGAGCTACATTATTCACCGTATATTTCAAGTTTCGAATTTGAATCTAGTAACGGCAAACAAACAATGTCCATGTAAACCCCAGTATAACGGCTATATTCTTATAGACCCCAATATAACGGCTATATTCGGTATTTGTAAGAGTTTAAAATTTTCAAATTCGTTATAAATGGTGGAGGGTATTCAAAGTTTGGCCCGGCCGAACTTACTGCTTTTTAACTTGTTTTTTTTTTTTTTTTTTTGGGAAAATACCAGAATTGTTTGACCAAAATTTATCAAGTATGTGTAAAAATATGAGGATATACCAAGTTTGCACAAAATCGTACAATTATCGTGCACATTATACATGTTTGTATTAGTGAACGAAGTCTCAAATTAACTCACTCTCGGATATTACTGTACGTACGAAAGCCTAGTGCAATGAGACATTGCTACAATATTAATTACTATCGGATATTAACTTAACAAAACTAATTAGGAACTTTGTTAATATTCAACTAAAAACCGAACAATAAAACATATCGAATTAACAACAACAACAAAACAAATCGACAGCACCAGCAATGGCAAAACCATTATTGGGAAGTTGAACTTTTAACCTCAAACTGAAGAAGGACAATAGAGGGCAAGGTAAACAAAAATTACATTGCGTGTTCACAGACATGCTCGTGCCTGCATCAATTCTAATCTAAGTTCTGCACGCAAGGATTAACGGAAAAGGAAGATATTTATTTGAAAAAAAAAAAAAACATTGCAAATAGTTTGAGTTACAATTTGTTTTCAGTATATTTTGAGGCAGGCCTCAAGCTAATCGCTGTAAACTTACCTTCATTAACACAGATTCACTCAATTTTTCACGGTTGATAATTTTAATGGCCACTTTCTTCCCGGTTACACAGTGTACGCCCAATTTGACAAGTCCTAGTTAAAGAAAACAAAAAACAAATATTAACATTAGGCACAAGAAAAATAAGAAATAATCGGAAATAATTATTCAAAAATAATAAAAAAAAGTAATAAAAGTGATATTTTGTTTTATTTTAGTGTTATTAAAGTAGATCTTACGCTATGAGGGTGACAATATTCATCGAATGTCCTTGCCTTTATAATTTGAAAAGAAACCACAGTAAAAAAATGCTTGTTTTTTGTTGAATGGGAACAAAAATTATTTTGATTAATTTTTTTACCGTAAGTACGCTTTTCGTTAGGGACTAAATTGAGTTGATGGATTTATTTATCTTCGATAAAGACTTCAAGAAGTTCCATAAAATATTTTTCAATGTAGACAGCATTGACTTTCATTCCGTTCATACAAACAATATATACAATTCTTGTCAGATCGACACAAACACAGTGAATAAAAAAACTGCAGAGTTCTGAATGTACTTTCAAAGTATAGATTTTTGGAGCAGAAGAATCCGGAGGGGCAAAGAGAAAGTACAGAATTTTGGGTTAGGTCGAATATTCTCCATTTACAGCAAGATCTAACTTCTGTATTCTGCATTCTCACAATTTTGCACCCCTTCTTTACTGTTTTCCAAGTGATTTTACCTACTCAAATAGCTATTGAACATGTAGTATGGCTTTCAAGCGGTCTAAATTTGAAATCGGTTGGTTCTATTATATAGGAGATATATCTTAATCTGAATTAATTTCTACTAAATTTGACAGCATTTTCAGCATTTTTTATTCTGTCATCATCAACAGCGCATATTACAGCTTTGAATCAAATCGCAGCTGCCACCAACATCAGACTGCGGTCATTTCTAAGCCACTCACACGACAGCTGTTATTATATATTGTTTACAAGAGTATAAAAGCATTTTGGTGATTTTCCAGAGAAAAAAAGTTATTCGTGATGGAATTCAAGCGTGATTGTGTGATTTCTTTATATTTGGCTGGAAAACCACAAGTGGCTATCGTTAGAGCACTCCAGCTTTTAAATGTGAATAAATCTATTGTGTCTCGTACCATCGCTCGTTACCGTGATACTGGTAGCGTGGCCCGACGTCAAGGAAGTGGACGGAAGAAAACAGCAACATCGGCAGAAATGGTGCGAAAAGTAAAGAAGCGACTTAATAGCCGACGGTCGCTCTCCGCTCGTATTAATCAACCGTGGCATTAGAATAAATACCGAATATTATCGCGAATATATTCTAGAGGGTGTAATAAAGCCTTGGGCACGCAAACATTTTGTCCTCAGACCTTAGACATTCCAACAGGACTCAGCACCATCGCACTCAGCACGCGCCACCCAAGAATGGTTACAAAATGATGTTACTCGCTTCATTTCCAGAGTACAATAGTCACCAAAATCTCCGGATACCAATCCGTAAGACTATTGTGTTTGGAGTATTTTGGAAAGCAAGGTTGGCACTAAAAACTATTAAAGTTTCGATCACCTCAAGCAAGCGCTTCGCCGGGAATGGACCACAATAGGTTATACTCAAATAATATAGAAGTTGTAGTAAAGACCAAAAATGGTAAAGGCTATACAAAATACATTCTGAGAAAATAGTTTGTGGCTATACTATCTAGAATAATAGCTCATGATAGAGGCATGTTAATATAAACAAGCAAAAAATTAGCTAAGTTCGGACGGGCCGAAATTTTTTACCCTCCACCATCTTGGAGAGACATGACAAATTTCGAAAAATACTGCTCAAATGAAAACCGTTATATGGGGGCTATACGAAAAAGTGGTCCTGCATAAGCAATTTGCGTCATAGGCTGTAGTAACGGTTCCGAACTTTATATACGAAATTTGAAACAATTCCCGTGAACAATATCGCAAAAATCATGAAAATACCGAATACAGGGAGGTACCGTTATATGAAGACGTGCTCATGCATATTTAATTTTACCGTTATATGGGCGTTAGGTTACTTTACACAGAAGGGCAAGACAATTCCATAAAAAATTTGTCTGAAGTAATCAAAATACCGAATATCGGAGGTACCGTTTTATGGGGGCTATACGATATCGTGGACCCATATAGATAATTCTCTTCAGGGGATAAAGTACTCAGAAGGAACTCCTTGTGTGAATTTTCAGACAATTTCGTTGTGGTTAAAATAATCAAAATACCGAATATCGGGAGGTACCCTTATATGGGGGATATACGATATAGCGGACCTATATATACAATTCTTATTCAGGGAGTAAAGTCCTCACAGAGAACTCCTTGTGTAGAGTTTTAGAAAATCCCAATTAAATGTGAATAAAACCATCAAAATACCGAACATCGAATGCCGATACATGGGGTCTATACGATATCGTGGACCCATATAGAAAACTCTGTCTCAGGAGTTAAAGTACTCACAAGGCACTCCTTGAGTGGATTTTTAGACAGTTCCATTAAAAATGTGGCTAAAAACTTCGACATCGTGGACCGATATAGCCCGTCTTCAAACTTTACTTGCCTGCAGACAAAAGACAGATCTGTGCAAAATTATAATAAAGCATCCTATCTTACTTGGTTTGGACTGTAGCGTAATTACAACAGACGGACAGGGCTAAATCGTCTTAGAATTTTACGTTGATCAAGAATATATACTTTGTTGGGTCTAAAATTATTATTTCGATGAGTTACAAACGGAAAGACGAACTTAATATACCCTAAAAAAAAAACACAATTATAGAAACGTTTTACAAATAAAAGTTTAAATAATCCAAAAAATTTGGTTTATATTCCATAGACCTTTCCAATTAATTGAATATTGCCTTAGCTAAAACACTTAACATTGACAACTGTGTTGTTATGATATCATAACAACAGTGGTATTTTTACCATTGGGTAACAAAAAAACATTTTTATATAAAAGTATCTGAATTCAAACGTGTTCCACTTTAAAAAAGAAATACCTGTAGGACCGTTTGTGCAATGATGTTAAAATACTAAAAAAAATAAACATAAAGTGGGTGAGCCCGTTATATGGGGGCCATAACAAAACGAGAACCTCTATAGATAATTTGGACTTCAAGGATTGTCACCTACCAAATCTTCTTAAATACCAAATTTGAACAGTTTCGTAGGTAAATGTGACAAGGATTATCAAAACACAGAATATCGGTGGCTATCGTTATATGCGCGCTATAGGAAAACGTGGACCTAAATATTCAATGTTCTGTGAACGGAGCTAGAACCCATTATAAATCACAAATTTAGAAACTTTCCAAAAATATGCATATTGCTTTAGCGGTTTAAATCAATTAACATCGGGTGAGATGAAAAAACTGCTACCAACTTCGGCTGCTGTCATTTCTAACCCACTCGTCCGACAGCTGTTAAAATTATTACAGTTACAGCTCATTATATTATTGACAAGCGTACAAAAGCATTTTGGTGAGAATTTTCCAGAAAAAAAGTTATTCGTGATGGAATTCAAGCGTGATAGTGTGATTTCTTTATATTTGACTGGAAAACCACAAGTGGCTATCGTTAGAGCACTGCAGCATTTAAATGTGAATAAATCTTTTGTGTCTCGTACCATTGCTCGTTACCTTGTTACTGGTAGCGAATCCATGAGCTAAAGAGTTGCTTCGCTTGGCCGAAAGTGGTTAATTGCCGAATTTGGTTTTCTCCGATGAGAAAACATTCGTTGTCCAGCAGTTTGTAAAAAAACAAAATGATCGTGTTTAGTTGCCAAAGAGGTCAGCTAAAAATGTGTACCTTCGATTGGCAACCAGAACTCAAGCGCTGGCCACGGTGATGTTGTGGGCCGCCATAACAGCCGATGGTCGCTCTCCGCTCGTATTAATCGATCGTGGCATCAGAATAAATTCCGAATATTGTCGCGAGGGTGTATTAAAGCCTTGGGCACGCAAACTTTTTGGCCGCAGACTTTGGACATTCCAACAGGACTCAGCACCATCGCGCTCAGCACACGCCACACAAAAATGGTTACAAAATGAGGTTCCTCGTTTCATTTCCAATGCACAATGGCCACCATAATCTCCGGATACCAATCCGTCGGACTGTTGTGTCTGGAGTATTTTGGAAAGCAAGGTTGGCAGTAAAAATACCAAAGTGTCGATCACCTCAAGCAATAATTCGTGCCAAAGTTGACCAATTCGAACAAACCTTCACTTATTCTAAAATTTGATGCTATTTCCGACATTTTTTACTTTCATTTAATAAAATTTAAAAAAAACAAGTAAGCAAAGGCTACAGTCGAGCGGGGCCGACCGTTGAATACCCTACAACACTATAATAAACGATACAGTTTATATAGGCGAGATACTCGGAAGAATTCCACAAGATATTGTGACAATTAATAAAAAAAAACATCAGGTTTCGTTCTCTAATTTTCGAATAATAGCAACTTAAACTAATTTGCTCATTTCCAATTTATTGGTAGATATTGCACGTAAATGGTCTTCCTAGATCTGGAAACAATATGGCAGTAGATTAACATTTATTGTTGGTTTTTGACTGAAACGCATCTATATGAGATACAGACATTTGACTATATTCTTCGAAATCAGCGTTAACGAAATAGACAGAAGTGTGTCTTTCCTGTATTTGGGAATTCTCCAAAAAGTCACTGGAATGGACATTTTCGTATTTTGTCTACAAAAGTTGGCAAACTCCTTCACACATTGAATATTTTTGCATGGCCATCCAAAACTGCTTGGCTTTTGCAATGTCCGGTAACCCCCATTCAAATTGCGTGAGGATCGGGCGATAATTACGACCTGCTGACAATTTTGCAGTTTTTTGGTCCATTTAAACCCCTAAATATATGGCGATCATCTCCAAAAAGAGTAGGCTTCTATTCTGACCCTCTCCATGCAAAATTTCGTAAGGATCGGGTCATGAATGCGATCTGTATCCTGATATCCTAATTACTTAGTTTTGTTAGTTGTAGACATATTACCAAATGTTTAATTCAAAATGAAACCAGTAAAGAAAGTCTTAAAGTCGGGCGAGGCCGATTTTATGATACCCTACTTTGCTAATTTAGTAGAGCTCCACATAACAATTAAAAGTTTTTATGGGAGAATTCGATCATACACGCTATGATTATAATTATAATTTAAAGTTCAAAGGACTAAATATGCCGAAGCATTTGTATCTTTTGAATTCGGACTTGTATTGCCCAATTGGTGCACTATTAATTTGAAATCGGAAAAAGATATATATGGGAGCTATATCCAAATCGGAACTGATCTCGATAAAATGTGGCAAAGATATTTCTGAGCTGTATTTGATATGTATCCCTGAATATCGTTGTTACGGAGTGCATATTACGACTGTGGGTAACAAATACAATAAATCGGATGAACAATATATATGGGAGCTATAGCTATACCTGAACCGATCTTCACCAAATTTGGCATACTAGCTCTAGACTCAATTCGGTCGTAAGTGCCAAATTTCATCCCATTCGGGCAAATATTAGACCTTTGGTGCACAATAAAAGGTAAATCGGACGAAGTTATATATGGGAGCTATATCCAAATCTGAACCGATATTGATAAAATTTGGCAAAGATATTTCGGAGCTGTATTTCATATATTTCCCTGAATATCGTTGTTCCAGAGTGCATATTACGGCTGCAGAGGACAAAAATTACAAATCGGATGAACAGTATATATGGGAGCTATAGCTATATCTAAACCGATCTTCACCAAATTTGACATACTAGCTTCTAGACTCAATTCGGTCGTAAGTGCCAAATTTCATCCAATTTGGACAAATATTAGACGTTTGGTGCACAATAAAAGGTAAATCGGACGAAGTTATATAAGGGAGCTATATCCAAATCTGAACCGATCTCGATAAAATTTTGCAAATGTATTTCTGAGCTGTTTTTGATATATTTCCCTGAATATCGTTTTTACAGAGTGCATATTACGGCTGTGGGTAACAAATATAACAAATCGGATGTACAGTATATATGGGAGCTATAGCTATATCTGAACCGATCTTCATCAAATTTGGCATGCATATTTTAGGGCCTAATTTGGGTGCATATGCAAAATTCCATACAATTCGGGCTGATATTACACGCTTGGTGCACAATAAAAGGCAAATCGGACGAAGATATATATGGGAGCTGTATCTAAATTTTGACCGATTATCTCCAATTTCAATAGGGTTCGTCCTTGGGCCAAACAAAAGATCTTTGCAAAATTTCATCTGGATCGGGCAATAAATGCGACCTGTACTTTGTTTACAAAAATACATGGACAGACGGACAGACGGACGGACGGACGGACGGACAGACGGACAGACGGACGGACGGACGGACAGACGGACGGACGGACATGCATAAATCGACTCAGAATGTGATTCTATGCAGATCATCAAAAGGAACTATGGGTCTATCTTGTTTCCTTCTGCCTGTTACAAACAAATGCACAAAGACATAATACCCTGACCACCTTGTGGTGTAGGGTATAAATATGCCAAAAATATGACAAAATTTAAAAAATATGAGAAAATGTTACAAAATCATTGTTTTCATCTTTAGAGAGATATTTTTATGCAACTTTTTTAGACGGTTTTTCTTTCCTGCCAAGAGGCCATTCTGAATTAATGAGAACTATCGAAATCGGTTCAGTCGTTCTCGACATATAAGAGACCTTTCAAGCATATCTTCTTTGATAGACATATATATCACACATATTTGCTATATATCCGATGTGTTCGATGTTAACATCAATGTAAAGCTCAGAAGTAAACTTGTCATGGCTTTGTGAGTTCGCCGGGATTTAAAATATTCGCGGTTTAATGAAAAATTTTGCATTTTTTCAACACAAAATATATGGTATATTTTACCCGCTAAATATTATCCGACGGCCACCCAATTCGGTGGGCTTCTTCCCCGCCCTAAACTCTAGCTACATGCGAAATTCCGTGTCGATTGGTCTATAATTGCGACCTGTATAGCTACTGCAAAATCCGACATTTTTTCAGTATTTGGTCCATTTTAACCCCTAAATATTTGGCGATCATCTCCAAAAGAAATAGGCTTCTATTCTGACCCTAACCCCACCTTCATGCAAAATTTCGTAAGAAATCGAGCCATAATTGCGACCTGTAGCGTGATTACAAATTAACATGGACAGACGGACAGACGGACGGACGGACGGACATACATAGCTAGATCGACTCAGCTCGGCGAGATAGGAAGATCCATATATACTTTCCTATATGGCCCAATCAAACTTATAATACCCCCAACACATAGTGTTGTAGGGTATAACCAGTAAAGAAAGTCCTAAAGTCGGGCGGGCCGATTTTATGATACCCTACACCACTTTGCTAATTTAGTTGAGCTCCACTTAATAATTAAAAGTTTTTATGGGAGAATTCAATCATACACGCTATGATTACAATTATAATTTAAAATTTAAAGCACTAAATATGCCGAAGCATTTGTATCTTTTAAATTCGGACTTGTATTGCCCATTTGGTGCGAAATTAATTTGAAATCGGATAAAAATATATATGGGAACTATATCCAAATCTGAACCGATCTCGATAAAATTTGGCAAAGATATTTCTGAGCTGTATTTGATAGATGTCCCTGAATATCGTTGTTACGGAGTGCATATTACGGCTGTGGGTAACAAATACAATAAATCGGATGAACAATATATATGGGAGCTATAACTATATCTGAACCGATCTTCACCAAATGTGGCATACTACCTTCTAGACTAAATTCGGTCGTATGTGAAAAATGTCATCCCATTTGGACAAATATTAGACGTTTGGTGCACAATAAATGGTAAATCGGACGAAGTTATATATGGGAGCTATATCCAAATCTGAACCGATCTCGATAAAATTTAGCAAAGGTATTTCTGAGCTGCATTTGATATATTTCCCCAAATATTGTTGTTACAGAGTGCATATTACGGCTGCGGAGGACAAAAATAACAAATCGGATGAACAATATATATGGGAGCTATAGCTATATCTGAACCGATTTCGATAAAATTTGGCATAATTATTTTCAGGTCTAATTTGGTTGTACGTGCAAAATTCCATACAATTCGGGCTAATATTACACGTTTGGTGCAAAATAAAAGGCAAATCGGACGAAGATATATATGGGGGCTATATCTAAATTTTTACCGATTATCTCCAATTTCAATAGGGTTCGTCTTTGGGCCAAATAAATGTTGTTTGCAAAATTTCATCTCAATCGGATAATAAATGCGACCTGCATTTTGTTCACAAGAATACGTGGACAGACGGACGGACGGACGGACAGACGGACTGACATGCATAAATCAACTCATAAAGTGATTCTATGCAGATCATCAAAAGGAACTATGGGTCTATCTCGTTTCCTTTTGCGTGTTACAAACAAATGCACAAAGACATAATACCCTGACCACCTTGTGGTGTAGGGTATAAAAATGTAAAAATTATGGAGTTTGACTTTGTTGCTGTTGTTTATGTCAACCTGTATGTTGTTATGATATCATAAAACATTTTAAACAGTAAATGAGCCTGCATACATTCTTTTCAAGGACGTTTGGACCGGGCTTAAAATCTAAAACAATTCTTTCAACACATTTTTTTTATAGAAGAACGAATTAAATAATAATTATAGTTTCTATAATAATTATAGGTTCTAAATTTTCACTAATTAATCGATAATTGTCGGTAACACTGTCCTTAACAAGAAAGACAATCGCACAACAGGAAAGACCAGCTGAATATACACTCCATTTCATAGATTTAAAATGTATATTCCCTCCATAAAATTGAAGAGTGTATAACAATAGTACCTTGTCCTGCAACCATATATTTTATACCAGATTCTGTAATTAGCGATGCTCGATGAATTATTTTAGCAAATTGTAATATGATTATCTCATTTTGTTATGAAAATCGCCTTAGATGTTCAAGCGTTAGACTTTTGTCTTGTCTCAATTAACTTCCATAATATTGCATAATGCAATATTCTATAAATTTGCCACTTAAAATGTCTCGAGCAAAAAAAAAATAAAAGGAAACCTTCCTAACACTACCTAATTTCCCTTGCATAAACTTTTATTGGTCTACATACCAGTCTGCCCTTTGCCGAGCGTTTTTTCCAGACGATATGGCCCCACATATTGGCAATTCTCCACTGTTGTATTGTTTTCCTTCTGCATTTTGTTATCTCTGGCTTCGGCCCGCGTTCTCACTTCTTAAATCACATGAAAATTCCATGCACTTTGGCCTCCAGAGGCTGTCCCAAATGCTTTTCCCCGGCTGCCCGTCTTCGGTGCCGTTCTCTCACTCTTCGTTCTGGGCCTCGCAAAAGGACGTTCGTTATCACTTCCCGCTTACCACGATTATATATTGTTTTTCTAGCTGCTTCTGTTGCTGCTATTGCTCCTGATGATATTGTTCTTGTCGTTGTCGAGTTTTCCCTCTTGGTTGTAGAGTAGCTGCAGTTTTTAAGTTCTTGTTGCTTCTATCGTTGTTGTTGTTGTTGCTGTTATTCTTATTGTAGGTATTGTTGTTTTTGCTGTTGTTACGGCCGTATTGCAGGCAAATTGGGTTAAAGTTGCCTTTTAATTACTTTGGCGTGTATGAAATGTATATTGCTTGTTTTTGTTACTTGCCACTGCTCTCTTCGCTTTGCACTGTTCCTTGTTGCATTTCCCGACCAGCTTCACGTACTTGTGGGTCGGTCGTTCCAGTTAAGAAACGAATGTTTTATTCATGAGTTTTCTTTGGACACCAACACAGATGGATGGGATGATTGCATTTGAGTTGAGAGTATTTCTTTGCTGTTGCTGTCGTTTCTTTGGATATAACGAACGGAAAACATGAATTAGCACCTAAAATGGAAAGAAACAAAAATACGAAACAGACAGTTTTATTATTCACGCCATATTAATTGAGAACATTTTGTTGATTATGTTGTTTATGTCATCTCAGTTGGATGCTCTTTAGCTAGACATGTTTTTGTTAGGAATTGTATAACATCTTCTAATCCTAATGTTTCATGTAGTTCATAATAGTAAAGTGTTAGACATTAAATATCGCATTAAGATTCATTTATTAAAACTTCTTACAAATAAATCAACCCGAACAAATATAGGGTGATTGGGGATAAGAAACACTGAGTTATGGTGTTAAAATGCTGTAATTTTTTATGTTTACCACAATTACTAAACGGTAATTTCTTTATAATTGTTTTCTAAGAATCTGTATTTACTTCTCAAGCTCACACTCGCACAATGTGATCACAGAATGCTCCTAATTTTATTATCATATACTTAAATAACTATTTGTTTTCATTTGATATATCTATATATATAAAAATCAATTGTTGTTTGTTGGTAACGGAATCAGTTGAAAACGGCTGGACCGATTTGCATAATTTTTTGTACACACGTTCGTCATACCCCGAGTTAGGTTTTTAAAGCAAAAAATGTTGACCACGCCTCCTTTTACGCCCACTATTACGATTTATCTAAAATCTTTATATTTGCCAAAATAGTGAAGATATCGGTTTGAGAATTATTACACGAGATGCTGTTGGCTTTCCATCCAACCCTAAGTACTTATTTAGGGGCTGAGGAACGCGCCTACTTTTAAATCTATCTCTCTTTATGTAAAAGAAAGTTGTGTTAGTTACTACTCTTACAACATAAAGACCGATTAACGATTTAGACAAATTCGGAATTGCCTCTTGGCAGAAAAGAATAAAATCCAAAAGAATTGCGTAGAAATGTGAAATTTGAACATTTTCATTTTGACTTTTAAAATGTACAATAGTAATGTTTTATATTGCATATTTTTTTCCATTTTGACTTACTATTTTCGAATGTACATTTGTAGTGTTTTTTTTTTTTTTGGATTCTAATATAATGTGTATTCGTAATACCCAATAAATACATAAAATCTATAAATAACACTTTTATCCGTTGTCGCTTTATATGAAAATTCTAAAATCGGGAAAAATCGACAATTTTTCAATGGAATCGAATTTCAAAATAATAGTACATTCTACCGACAAACTTCATAAGGACCTTTAAAAATTTGCCGCAAAAAAATCAGCGAACCAGTTGAAGATCCTTTTTCTTTTTTCTATATTGAAGTGTACATTTTTTTATTGGTTTGAATTCTGAATGAATAATATTAAAAATGAAATGAGGGCGCAATGCTGGAAGATGCGAACACATTTAAACAAACAAAAATTACCGAAGAAGCAATATGGGTTAATTTCAAAAAGTGGACCTGCTTCTTCCATATGGCAATAAATTGTCAAATGAGAACACAAAATGCAAAATACATTGGGACTGCAATCAGTCAAATACCGACTATAAAGAACGCAAAATAGAAATTCTACCTAAACATTCAAGATTCCTTTAATCGCTTTGGCAGGTCATGATATGGGTCATAACCCCTGATAACGAAACAACCCGATTTCAAGTATATTCTACATTTTAACCATATTTTTCGTACTAATTTTAGCTTACGTTGATAATTTAAGAAGAAACCATCTTTGCAAAAAATTATCACGTTTTGGTATCACCATCATATGATTTAAGGTATTTTCGGGGTCTTGGACTCTTTTTTCATTTTTTGGCTCTCATTTGACATCTTTGTTTTTAAGGGGGAAGAAAACCTCTTCTTATAAAATTTTTATTTTTCGGAAAAGTGCGCATCTTAGTCTTGAGGCTACCGGGGGTAAAAAAAACCCTAGGGTAGAAAATCATCTTGCAGATAATTATCCTCATAGGAATTTATTTAAGTATAGTCCCCACATTAGTATTCCCCCAAGTCCACTTTCCCAACCAATGTGTGGTCAGAAAAGAAAATTTGGTATTCTATTGAATTTGTAACCCCCAAGGGAATATTGGTTGGGAACGTAGATTTGGTATGCACGTCTATATGAAATAAACTCCGAAATGTCAATCTGGGACTCATTCAGTCGGAAATTGTGGCAGAAACATAACAAAATACGAAATTATAAAGTAACTTTATTGGATCTCCACCACACAATTTAAATGACAAACAATTAATGCCCATCTTACGGTAATCGGAGCAAAAGAGTAATTTTTTTGGCTATTCTGACAACATTCTGCCTTCAAGTATGAGGTGGACAAAACTAAATGCCACGCAGTATGGGATTTTAAACGTTGGAAATACAAAATTAATATTACAGCTCATTTTTTTACAATACCAAAAATTGAGCTGAATTTTCACATGGGGCTATTATAGATATTCTTTATCAAATTAAAGCCTATTGCTGAAAAATACGACCAGGCTATTCAAAATATCTAAAACCGACGGTAATTATAATTTTTGCCATGAATATTAATTTATATTTAATCAAGTCACTACTTATAATCAAAATTTTGCCGCCTACATAAGTCAGATCTGTGATTTATTATGCTTTAAAGACTAAAAGTACGGGCCGGCAACGCGGACCGGGCCAGCTAGTTTATATATATTTTTAATTTGGATACCTAGGTAACAACCGGAAGGAGAATCTAATTGCCTGGAATAAATACGTCCCAATCCACTTTCAGTTGGAAGTGTCAAATACAAATTAAAAGCCAGCACTGAAATAATCAATGCAATACCTAATTCTCATTGGAATTGAAACTACGTGGTTCGCTCCCGAAATCATGTTCACAAATTAACCCGCTCATTCGGCACAATTCGGAATTTATTGTAATATAATTGCTTTTTTCATAATATTTGATTCTTGAATTTTATTGGAACTAAATCAAAGGCACATGAAATACGCACTGATATGAACTGAACATATAATTATCTTTATTTCAAATAGTAATTGCATTTTTTATACCCTCCGCCATATATAGTATGGAGGGTGTATTAAGTTCGTCATTCCGTTTGTAACTCATCGAAATAATAATATTAGACCCAACAAAGCCCTGTCGGTCCGTCCGACTGTCCGTCTGTGGAAATCACTTTAGCTTCCGAACGAATGGAAGTGGATTGATGAAATTTTACTCAAATGTATGTTATGTCTGCAGGACTTTGAGCCATGTAGGTCCACGTTTTGGTATAGCTCCCATATAACGGTACCCCCGATATTCGGTATTTTGATGATTATAGCGACATTATTTACCGGAATTGCTTCAAATTTGGTTTTTGAAGTTCGTAATGGATGCTACAGCCTATGAGAAGAGATTGTCTGAGCAGGTCCACGTCTTCGTATAGCCCCCATATTACGGTACCTCCCGATATTCGGTATTTTGATGATTTTAGCGACATTATTCACCGGAATAGTTTCAAATTCGTTTCAAATGGTGGAGGGTATTCAAAGTTCGGCCCGGACGAACTTACAGCTTTTTTACTTGTTGTTTTATGGATTTACGGAAATTCGAACTCGAGGACAAGAAGCGTGCCTCTGGTGAAAAAGAAAACAAGATTGGATTATTCATAGGCCATTTTAATTCATAGTTTTAGTTTTTCCCATTTTTGATCAACTATCGTATTTTTTTTTTTTTGATAAATGCTCTTATTTGTTTGGGATGGGTCGAACAACGGTAGAGTTAATCATATACCAAGTGAAGGATGTGAAGCATAATGCAATTATGTATACAATGATAACATACATTGCAATTTCGATCACGTTGTTCGTTGTTACCAGTTCATACGGCACGATTCGTAATTCACAATCGTAATTCCTTTTTTTTAAATGTTTGTTATTTGATATGAAATTCGCATTAATATGAATAGCAGAAATTATTGTTTTTCCTCTAAAGAGCTATTTTATCATTATTTTACATTTATATTTATTCATGTTTTGACCCTTTTCTGTATATATTGACATTTTGAATATATTTTTGTGTGTTTTCGGTTTTTTATTTTTGCTGGAGAGAAACTTGTGGATCTAATTTTTTGATGCAATTTTTTTGAAAATAGTGGCTTTTTTGTTACCAGCTTTCTGCAAATATTCCAACTCCCGGACAAAAAGCGTACCTCGAATGAGGAAGAGACCAAAATTTACTTTCGTTTGAATGTTTATACGCCATTTGAATGTTCATACGCCAATTTTAATAGGGAGGTACCATTATATGGGGGCTTCACCAAACCGTGGATCTGCACAGACAATTTCACAATCATAGGCTGCAGTATCTATTACGAACTTCAAATACCAAATTTGAAAAAATTCCGGCGAATAATATTGCTAAGATCATCAAAATACCGAATATCGCGAAGTGTCGTTATATGGGGTCTATACGAAGGCGTGACCTGCACGGACAATTTTCTGTCATAGTCTGTAGTATCTATTACGAACTTCAAATACAAAATTTAAAACATTTCCAGTTAATAATCTCGCTTAAATCACCAAATTACCATTATATGGGACTATATCAAAACGTGGACTTACATTGCCCAATTTCAATACCAAAAGTCCACAGACATAATATTCATTTGAGTAAAATTTTATTAACCTACTTCATTTCGTTCGGAAGCTAGAGTGATTTCCACAGACAGATAGACAGACAGACGGACGGACATCGCTAAATCGACATAGAATTTTATGCTGTAGTGGGACGGGCTGTACCGATGTTGTTTGCTTTGTAATGTTTAAAAGAATAACCCATTATGTTAAACTTTCTAGGTTAGTTTGCTAACACTACCCTTTAATGGGTTATTAAGCACAAGTTGTTGCTTAACTCCGACAGATTTCACTGGCATTTGCAGTTTAAAATGGAAATCGTCCGAAAATTGCGTCCTGAAATTTAATTTTTATTGTTCTTTTTTTACTAAATGGTGAAGATTCTTAAAAGTTGGGCCGAACTAAGCCCTTCTTAGTTGTTCCCGTTAAAAATAAAAAATATTCGCATTT